TGTGGCTAGTCATTTTACCTATATACAGTATAGAGAGGATTAGAAGCAGTGGACTTGTTTAGCCTAGACAGTGAACTATGAGAGAAAAGTGTTGTTCTGTAAACAGGGAGAACACCTTGTTTGTGGTGAAATCCAGTGTTAATGCAAAAACAAATGGCATTCAAATTCTTTATCGTGGTTATTTTGTACCCACCGGAGGGTTTAGGAACAGCTTTCTAGTATGAGCAATTGATGGAAAAACATTGAGACACCTCTAATGCAGCTTGGTACCCTTATTGAAGGGGTTATTGTTGCCTGTCGTAGCAAAAACTGGAAGTGGCCTGGTGAAGTCTTGGCTATTCTTAAAATTGACAGTTTCCTCAGGTAGAGAGGCAGAGGAAACAACTTAGCAAGTTGTATGTTGGGAAAGAAGTTCGAAGTTCTGTGCCATTGGGTTCAGAATTCCTACAACAAAGACCAAAATTACTGTCACATCCATTTTACCAGGATCTGCTGTGCTAAGGTTAAAGCAGAGAGAGGAGGATTGAGGGAAGGAGTATTGGTGAGTCAAAAAGCAAATTAAAAAATCCAGTGTAAGCTTTTTTTAAAAAAAAAATTATGGATCTTTTTCTTGTTTTTTAAAATCTGATTGAAAACTCCAGTGTAATACTTTCTTTTATTATGTTTCTGTAGATTATCTTAACAGTGTAAGCAGTGAACAGCAGCTAATCCAATAAAGTCTAGCATAATGCTCTAGCTGTAACTGCAGGGCAGGTACGTACACCTAGAGTGAGGGGGTAATTACCCAGTTCTTTACAAAGGTTTGTCTTTTCTTTCTCTCTGTTTCTCCTCCACCCTTATCTCCTATATTCACATATGTAAATTTATGTGAGTATCCATGTAGCTATATATTAATGTTTAGCTTGGGAATAGAGTCTGTAAATGGAGCAACAGAATAACTCTTTGAAGATGTAAGCAGCAGTTACGTTTTCGGAGTAAACCTGCTTAGCCCTTTTACCTGTGAGACAAGAAGTAACCTTTCTAGCTAGATGCAGTACTTCTTCTCAAACACTTCTACTTTGAAAGTGAAACTGTGTATAAATATGTCCCTAAGGGTTTTAAGTATAGTAGTGTTGCTGATGTATGGCTCAGTGTTCAGGGAGCCCTGCAGTGCTGCTCTCTGTTGCAGCATGCAGTTACTGCAGATACATTCC